AGTTAGAAACAGAGCTTAAAAACCCAATCCTCAATCTTCTAGGTAACTGATTGGCAAAGAAGCAAAAATTTATAAAAGGTACATAAATATTGTCCTGATTTCTATACCCACAGAATCAACTGTTTATAGGTTATTATCTCTATGTTATTTGAGCTTGAAATATAATTTAATATAAAGTTAGAAGGAAAAACTCCTTAATCTCATGATAGATCTTGCTTTAGGGACCCAATATTAAAAATCTAAAAGCTAGATTAAGAAATTATAGTCTCAGTGTTGGCCAAAAAAGTGTGGGAAGAGGCACTGTCATATGCTGTTAGTAGGAGTGTAAATTTTTAAAATCTTTCTGGAAGGCAGTTTGGCCATATCTATTGAATGCCTCAGAATTTTGCATAAAACCTTTAAACCAGCATTTTTACTTTGGGGGACTCATGCTAAGAAAATAGTCATAGATGTTTGCAAAATTATAGCTTCAAGATTTTTATGGAAGTGTTTTTGGTAGAAATAAAAACTGAATAAAGCATAAATATTTAACAACAAGGCTTTATTTAGCCACTAAAAATGATACTAGAGGAATATTTAATGTTACAGAAAAGGTGGGAAAAGCTGATTAAAAACAGGATGCACAATATGATTCCCTTTGTAAAAAAATGATATTCACATCAAAAAAATAGTGGATGAAAACAAATAGAAATGTTAACAGCAGCATCTCTACATGACACATTTATACATAGCATCTTTTCTAACATGCAAATAGATTTTTTAAATATATTTTAAAATTAAAATGCATGCTAGTTACAAACTCTCAAATCATAGTAAGTTAAAATAAAAATAAATAAAAATTGTAAGCCCGTCTCCCTATAACTGCACCATTTGGTAAAACACACACACACACACACACACACACACACTTCTTGGTTTCAATCAATTATATATATTGGGGAGTTTTACATTTTAGTGCATACATATCTACTTCATGCTTTTACATTGCTGCGTAGTATTCCAAAATAGCAATATGTAATAATCTCCCTCTCAACTATTCCCACCCTGACCATTCTGTTGCAACATTCATTGCCCTATTTCCTCATTTCCTCTGTTCTTCTTACCTTTCCAGCTTAAATAGTTACTATTTCTTTAGACCTTTTATCTGTGTTGCTTCTTTCTGCAAGACCACAGCTCTTAGTGCCCTGTAACCAAGCAGATAAGCTCTGTTGAACAAAAATCTTGCCAGAGTGGTAGTGATACCATATCTCAAATAAACATTCAACACTAACAGTTCTAACAATTTGTCAGGTTAAAACCACTCTCCCACTCTCTGCCACCATTATTTCAATACTCCATTCCCTTAATTACCAAATCCCTTTAATTTCTTCCAGCTTTTTCTCTCAGGAAAAGCTGATGGTGCCTCCTAACTTAGAGAGAAAATTCAATCTGCAACTTGATTTACCAATTTACAACTTCTCAACTATGTGTCATCTCTCTCCTTCTTACTACACTGGAGGAAATTGACTAACTTTGTTAGTATTTTATTTAGGAACTCTGTGCATGTTGATAAGCAATATTGCCTTAGTGGATTTCCTAGATATACACATTTCCTAGTCCTGATACCAGAGTTATTCCACTTGACTTGTAGATTGAACATCAGAGGGTGAATCTTATTTTTTCCCTTATTATAATTTAGTTAAAGAAACAATGCGTTCCTGGAAAATTTGGTGGCAGTCTTTTGGCATAGGTCTTTGGTATTGGCCAGAACAATAGTGTGTGTGTGTGTATGATTGTTTGATTGCCCTTCAGTTCTATAACTATCAATCTATCCTATTTTTTAAATTCCATGGGCCCCTATCTGATTGATAAATTCCATAGAACATTTTATTAAAATCACTTAAAAAAATGTCCTTCAACTGTGAGTGAATCACATGTCTTTCCACACCCTTCTATAAATTGTGTGTGTGAGAGTTAAATTTTTTTTTCTGATATGCTTATGATCTCACAATGTTATTCTCAATCTGCTCAGTATTTCATGCAATAAAATAAAATAATGAAATAAAAATGCACAAAACCCAAGTGTATAATAGGCTACGTGTACCTGTCTTTACCTGATAACTCAATTACAAAACGAGAAGTGAAGAGGAAACCAAATAAAAAAATAATGTCTGCTACTCAGAACTTGTACCACGCATGGCCTGTATCACCGCACAATCTGTGAATAGTAATAAGTTACTTTAAAAATCCTTCAACAGTTATCTCAATCATATGATTTGTTTGAACTTGCCAGGCTTCCCCTGGTAGCTCACCCAGTATTACAAAACACCCTTCTGCCTTATGGAGCATTCAGGATTCTCATTTCAGCTGCCCAGTTGGACAAAACTTTAAATAATTTATTATTATTTATTTATACAATAATTGGGGTACAGGCCAGATGCACGGGAGGGTGAGAGGATTCACCAGAGACAGAGCTGGGAACAGAACAGGCAGACTGACTGAAATACACTGCTGAGGGGAGCAGTGGGTGAGACAGGAGAGGTCGGCTGTGCCATGTGGGTATCTCTGTGGCCGGCGGGGATCAAACCGGCACTGCAGAGGCTGTGGACATCTTCACAGCCCTGCGCTCAACCTGCTGCGCCACCAGGGAGGCCCAGTTGGACAAAACTTTAACAGGTTAAGCACTGCGCTATGAAGCAAACCGCAGCCTCTGCAACATTAGTTGGATCCCCGGTGGGCCAGGGAGAACCCACATGGCCCAGCAGACCTCTCCTGTCTCGCCAACTGTTCCCCTCAGCAGTGTATTTCAGTCAATCTGACTGTTCTGTTCCCCGCTCTGTCTCTGGTGACTCCTCTCACCACCCCGCATCTCTGGCCTGTACCCCAGCTCTTGTATGCATAAATAAATAAATCCTTAAAAAAAAACAAAACTTTAACAAGGAAGGGAAAATGTTCACTTCTTAAGTACTGATGTATAGATGTAGATCAGAAAGTGGCAGTCAGTGGTGTTGGGAAAACTGGACAGCTGCATGCAAAAGAATGAATCTAGAACACTCTCTCACATCCTACATAAAAATCACACATACACAAAATTACAAACATTGTCATACACGCACCAAAAAACCCTATAACAATTCATAGATGAAAACATGCAAAACACTCCATGACATTGGCTTCAGAGATGTCTTTGTGGATTCTGATCCTTGATCAATAATTTTGCTGGACAAAGAATTCTAGGTTCAGAATAATTTCATCTAAGAATCCAAGAAGAAATTTTTCCACTTTCTTCTAGCACACAAGTTTGCAGATGATATACATCCACATTCTCACTGTAACTTCTTTTCTTTGAAGTTAAAGGGAATTTTTTTGTATTGTTATATTATGTTTTATAATTTTATCTGTGAAGCTAAATTTTCTCAAAGTTGAGACCATTGCAGTGTGATGGTTGATAGCCCTTTGAAACACCAGAGTTGCATCCTATTTTTTTCCAGCTCAGATGAATTATCTTTTATTTATGCTTTAATTATTGTAATCCTGCATTTTCTTCATTCCCACTTACTGGAATGCCTATTAGGTAGAAACTTCTGAATCCATCATTTCTTTTTCCGAACAGTTTCCTTATAGTTCCAACACTGTTATCTTTTTCTGTGCATCCCGAGAGAATTGCTTTACTTGAACTTTCAGCTTGCTAATTTGTTCATCAATGTTAAATCCTGAGATTTTTTAAAAATCTAAAAGTCATGAAAAGTCATAATAGGTTTCTTTCTAGTATGTACTGGGTCACAGATTCCGCAGGTACATTGGATTGTACCAATGTTTAGATCGTCCTCAAATCCTGCTTGTATTCATTTGCTGTTTGCTTTCTTCTACTTCCCAGTGCTGCTATGGACATATTTTTTACCATTTTTTCCTGTCATTTGTAATGGAAATTATGCTTAATTGACCATCTGGAGTCTGTTTACTAGTGTCTTGTATGAGCTGGGTTCCATGTTAGTTACTGGATGGACAAAGCAGACATACAGAGTTCTCAATCAAGTGGAAGATCATGAACAATCACACACTGAACATCTTCTTTGGGCCACACAGGAAGAGGTGGGAGACAGTGAAGATAGGAGTGCTCTGAACAAGTGAGGGCTGGATCATAGGACTCTGAGGAGTTTGGATTTTTTGATATGCAGTGGGGAGCTGCAAGGGATTTAAAGATTTTTGGAAGCTAGTTTTCTCAATACTGTGGAGGATGAAAAGGAATAAGACAGATCTGGAAAAGGGAAGTCATTTAGGAGGTGATCACTCTGGTCTGGCAGGGTGACCATCACCTGAATTTTTGCAGAGGCATCGAAGACAGGCAGAGCATGATACGCCAGGCCCCATCCCATACTTGTCTTGTGTGCTCTTTTGTTCAAAACTGGCATGAGAGTTCATGTAACTTGGAGCTACACCATTAATCAAAAACCACAATAGTCACCATATTGTATTTTGCTTTGTTGCTGTTTTCTTATCCGTCCTACTGTCAGGAAGGGTACTGTCAATGAGTATAATAACTTTGCTGCTGTATGTTGTATGGATTCAGATTACAGATGGAACAGGGGATGCTAGATGGTGAAGCTACATTAGGATAGTGTGGGGACTTTACTATTAGGAGGGAGGAATCATCATCATTCTTAGTTGTGAGCCCAAGTGGCCAGATGTGGTATTAAGAGGGTGAGACAATTCATCTCTAAACTCCAAAGTGGATTTGAAAGTTCTTTTCCCAAAATATGCTGGGTAGTTGAAGAAGACTGTTTGCTGGAAGCCAGGGTCATTCTTAGATGAAGGATAACCCCATTACTATAATAGTAGAATAAAAGCAAGGTCACACTTGTCCACTCAGGAAGGCAAGCAAATGGGGAAATTTAATAAAAATGTTGTCATAAAGGTACTTGATTTACTTACAGTGTTATGTATGATGAAACAATGATGTTGTCCTGTCAAGACAGATATAGAGCAGGTGCTGAATTTAAATAGATGAATAAGTGGTAGAAGATCAGTGATGCAGATGGATGAGGACATCAAGAAAATGGGTGTGTACAAATGTATAATGAAAATATTTCTCAATTGTTTCTTTCAAAATGTTGCTGATCTTAAATTGAAGGCAGAGTTTTCAGCTTCAAAATTTTAACTCTAAATGAACCTGGCTTCCTTATAGATGCACATCTCTAAGTCTATAAATTCGCAAATGAAATAGTTTCTACAGGACAATGCACAGATGTTTTGGGCATATTGATATTAGCCAAAATATATTTGGAATCAATATCCTGAATATTGTAATACAATTTTAAAACTGCTTGAAATTGGTACCATGAATTGATGCCAAGTAATATTCAAGTTCATCTTTTATACATTGGTAAAGTGGATTTTACCAAAACACATTTTTTGACTTTTTCTAGATAGTATATAGATTCATTGACAGGAAGCTAATATTTATTGTGCTCACTGTTACTAGCTGTTGCTCTGGTTGCTTGGAATACAGCACAGAACATATGAGATAAAATATCCTCTCTTGGGGAGATAAAACAATAAATATCACATACAAGTTAAATAGGAAGAACTACTGGGGCCTCCCTGGTGGCTCAGTGGTTGAGCGCTGGGTTGCAAAGCTGCCCGCAGCCTCTGCAGCACCAGTTCGATCCCCGGCTGCTCCCCGACCATGGGAGGAGGGTCCCACATGGCGCGCAGACCTCTCCTGCTGCCCGCTGCTCCCCTCCGCAGTGTGCTTCGGTCCCTCTGCCTGCTCTGCTCCCCACTCTGGCTCTGGTGAATTCTCTCACCCTCCTGCACTTCTGACTGTACCCAGTGCTTGTATAAATAAATAAATAAATCTTTAAAAAAAAGAAATTAAGCAGCTGAAAATATTAAAAAAAAAAATAGGAAGAACTACTATGCAAAGAGTAAAAAAAAAAACAACAAAGTAAAGGGGATCAAACGTATAGGTGTGATATTTAAATTTTTAAATAGATCTTTGGGTGGGTCTCATTGAGAAAGAAACATTTGGAAAGAATAAAGACAGCAAATCAATAGAAAAGGATTCTGAACTCTAACCCTAACTGCTTTTCCTACAAAGGAAAATTTGCTTTCATAGGGAAATGAGGATTTAACTTTTATATAAATTGATAAATCACTTTGCTTAGTCAAAATCCCAAATTCATATTACCCCAGCATACTCCTTAAAATATCCTGAAGTTCCTTCCACATCAATGTCTGACTACTTTTGGAATAATTTATATCAACACTAGTTCATGACTGCCTCAGAATTTAAGATGTCTTAAATCCTTTTAAAAAAGTCACATATACTGTACTTCTGAAAAGATTAAATACATTTTCACTCACATCTCAAACTTTACTATATTTAAAATCACAAAGCTTCTTGATTTTTAGGAATGATATAAAGTGATATAGGGATTTTTGTGTGAATGTAGGACTTGACATATTTGAAGACTTCTTGATTTTTTTGATTCAATAAATAAGAGTTTTTCATTTGAAAGATGTACATGTTTTCACTTTCCAAGTGTGTTCATCTTCCTACTTGCACAACGTTTGTTTGCTGAGTATATAAATGTCTGTGTAATGATCGCTTTATAGGCAGATAGCAGGTTCAATCTGATTGCACTAACTCAAGTGCAATGATTTGCACTCTCTTTTATGAGATATTAATTTTGGAGTTTATTGGAATAAACCGTATGCATTATATAGGTTTGCCACTTTTTTCTATTTAAAGATGTCTCTTTTTATTACTTCCGATTATTGTCTCACTGTGCTAAATATTAAGCTACCTCTTCTTTATTTAGTCATTATTTTAAAGAGTCACAAGTTTCATTTGCCAACTTTTAAATGTAATTGATTAAAAGCAAAACTTATTTCCTTAATCACAGTTTGCTTGGCATAGTGCAGCTTAACTTGCAATGGGAGAAAAGAATATAAAACAAATAAGCAAATTTTACTTTTTTTAAAAATTATCATGAACAACAAAGATAAATGTAAAATTGAACCCAAATAAGCAATACTAATTAAACAAGAAAGAAGTTGTATTTTAAATCAATTGGTCAATGATTGATGTTTTATGACATTGATGTTTTATGACATTTCCTTGAAAATCAAATACTTATTTGTGTTCTTATTTTGGTTAGGATACTTTGTCCACTTACCTGAAAGAATAGTGCTAGATTGTTCATATTAATAAAAACAAGGGAAATAGAAAGATCAGTATTTGCTCAGTTTTGTACTAAGTCCTATAAGGAGCAAAAAAATAGGGTCAAAACTTCATTACCTTCTAGGAGTGTTGAGGGCAGATTGCTGGGGGGCTTATACAGTGTAACAGGGAAACCAATTCTAATTACACTGCAACTTTTCAGCACTTAAACTCACACTCCCCTCCCAGCTGTGCACTGATGTACATTTGCAGTTGTGAGTATGTGATAGGTTTGCTTTTTTTAAAACAAAGGTACACATCTTGTAACTAAAGACCTTCTGGATTTCTGTATACATGTCACCCTCAGGCACTAACGTTATGCTTCACTAAGATTTACTTTATGGTTAATAATTCACAATTTTAAAAATCCACTTATTAAGCAGATAATTTTTAACCTTTACTTTTTGCTCAATCCCAGGAATAGACAGAAACACATAGAATGAAGCTTTTAATCTTTCTGAACTCATGAATTATGCTGGAGTCACAGTGCATTGGTGGAAGGAAGTACCAGCTGCGATGAGACAAGGTAGGAGGAAATTTCTAATCAGGGCTAAGGTTATGGGGATGGCAAAATAGTTCAGGGAAATGTCCCTGAGGTTGTAGAGTATGAATTGAGTGTCAGGCAAAAGCAGGATTTAATTTAGTGTAGACAGTATAGGGAAGGCATTTCAGACAGACAAAAGTCTACAAAGCAAGCATGCAAGGGAGAACATTCGAAAATAGTCATCCCTGTTCATGCGATACCATTTTCACTCACAGAAAGTAAGCAAGATGCCAAGTGTGGAAGATTGATATCCTGTTTCATACCTGAATTGTTGTAAAACCCTTAAGCACAAAATGTGTACTCCTCTGCCACTTTTAAAACTTGGATGTTGAACATTTTTCCTTTTGGTAAAAGTAAATTCTTCATAGGGAACTAAAGTTAGTCTTAATTTTCTGGCATATACTGTTAGAAAGAAAATGCAGAGTTCCTTAGCATCACCAAATTTGTATGAGTAATTGTATGCATTTATTTAGAATTAGCAATACACGGTGGGGAAAATAATTTACTTTAGTCTGGAACTATTTTCCTGGACCTGTTAGCAAACTAGACTCTCTCATGGTTTCACATCTGAGGCAGGTTTCAACAGCACCAGGAACATTGTACAGGATGCACAATCTCTCTCTCTCTGTCTCTGTCTCTGTCTCTCTGTCTCTGTCTCTGTCTCTCTGTCTCTGTCTCTGTCTCTCTCTCTCACTCTCTCTCTCTCTCTCTCACACACACACACACACACACTCACATAAATAATGAACTCCATGCATTTTCCTGATGAACAAAGCAAATAGTATTTTCTTTAGTAAAGCAGCATGTTGGACATTATATGGTATTCTTATACTTAGAAAACAACATTTTTATATTTTCATTTGGTTATTCAGAACTTACTCTACAGGGTCCAGATAACTTTCCTAAGTTATGCTACTGGACTTTCTAGGTCAGCATTGCCTGGAATATTTCAGAACAAGGAGAAATTTCTTGATGCTACTCAGCATCTACTGAATCAGGATGTCTGGGTATAGGCCTAGATGGCACATTTTCTGCAAGCCCCCAGAAGATTTCTGTTGTATCCTAGAGTTGATGAACCACTAGTATAGATCTGGCATCTAATTCAGCCAAAGGTTAACCATTTAGGGCCAAAGGTAAGTGAAAAACCAGAAGCTTGTGTTTGACTTGATTTACTGAGCATAAAAAAATCTACAACTCAGAATTGCCGTCTTGCAATCTCGTTTTTATAACTTCAAAATTCCTTCTAACTGTTATGGAATTCACCATGAACATCATAATTTTTTGCAGATACAATACTTTCAGAATTCCAATGCTCAATATTGTCAAACTTGGAGCTTGTGACATTAATTTCTCCTTCACACATTCTGATATGTCTTACAGAAAATGTTTTATTCTTTACTGATTTATACCCGTCAAGGTTACATTTGCCTACAGATCTTTCTTTTGGTATTTTGGTAGTTTCAATGGGCACTGGAACCTATTTAAATTATTTCTGAGATCTCTCTTCAAATGTCATAAACGTTTTCTTGTCTCACCAAAAAGTCAAGTACTATTTTTTCTCAACTTTCAATTTTTAAAAATGCCCTTACTTGCAATTCCTCAAAACAGTGTAGTTCATGAGATCTTTATCTCTATAGACAGTGTACTAATTCCTTCTGCCATATTTTCACAATATAAAAATATCTCTTGAGACCTCCTAGATTGATAACTGAAACAAGTAAGTGCAGGAGTGATTTTTAATGTGTCCTCTCACTCTCTGCATCTCCATACTAGGTAAAGAAGGAGTAGACTGTATATGCAAGCTAATGGAAGGACATTTCCAGTGTTAATTGATGCTAGGCAATCAAACATAGGATCCTCAAAATGGTATGTCAGTGCAAAATTAAACCCTCAGCATTTCTTCCTTCTGAAATATATAAGCTTATTTCCTAGGATTCAGTTGGAAAGTAAATAACCACTCTGAGTATCGTAGTGGAAAGAATTTATTATATGAAGACCTTACCCAAGTGTGAAGAAGTTGGAGCGAACTTCAAAAGGAAGAGTTGGCCATAAAAGTCCCTGGGAACACATGGGTGTGCACTGACACGTGGGTACAAGATAGCAAATGATAGTTTACAGGAAAATCTGGGAAGTTAATAAGCACATCCAGATGCCCAGGTGGCAGCCAGGCCATGGAAGCCACTGCTTCTGTGTCAAGTGGTTCTGCTGGTCAGCAGGACCAACTGTTGGAACAAAGAACTGGGCACAGGTTGGGAAGGTTGAGCTGGACATATTGGGCATACCAGAATCCATCATTGCATCCATCTCTCATGACTGCAAACTAGGAAGACCTTCAAAGTCTGCAGCTTCCCCTTCAATTTTAAACACTTGTTGTAATTTCTCTTTTGGTCAAATTCTAATCTGAACTATAAAAGGAAAGAGGTTCTGGGAAGATTTTTTCAGCATAGCCTAGTTGACAAGTTAGCAATACAAAAGTTCCACAATCATGATCTGTTGAATGCATATATTTTTATTTGTTCCAAGGAATTGTGCTTTATGTCTTTTCACAATAATAGCCAAAATTGTCTTACTCTGCATTGAAACAGAATAGAAAACTATAGCCTCTCCTCTACCTTTATATACTTTGTAAATTGTTAATACTGTATAAACTTACTTTCCCTTAATTGAGTGAGGTTCTAAAAAGTTAGTTTATCTACACATGTGTTTTTAAGAAGCTGTATGAAATCTCTGAGGACACTAAAAGCTGTGTCTTCAAGAAATCTCTGAGGACTCTAGGAGCTGTGTCTTCATGACCTTGACTTTAAATCATTTCTCTGGATCTGATCCACCACATTTCACCTAGGAGTTTCTTGAAAGCATTATACTTTGGCTCTATGTCAAGAAACCAAGTAAGTCCTCTGTTCAAAACAGAGGCTTAAATCAAGAACAAGAACTTATTTCCCTTGATTCTGTATGTTGACCGGATGTTCACACTGCTGGCTTCACCGTGGTTCACTCACAAGGCTGATTAGTGGGAGAATTTCCTGCAAAGTCCAAGGTGGCTTCATGCAAGTGCCTGGCACTATGTTCCAGCTGTTGGCTGAGCACTTTGTTTTTCTTTCACATGCTCTCTCACCTTCCACAAATATAGACTGGCTTCCTTACAGGGTGTGGTCAGGGCAAGACTCCAAGACAGCACCTTTGAAATGGCAAGACCTCTGAAGACCTAGCTTCAGATATCACACTTAGTCACAAAGGAGAGTAAATACGCTTTACTTCTTGTGATCGGGAATGACCAAATTTGCTGTTGTGTTCTACAATGGGCAACACCAAATTAAAATTGAAACTACATTGCGGCTGATTTCTTTAGTAAAATCCCTCCCCTGTGTTTCCCCCCAGCCCCATTACATAGTTATTGTTCAATCAGCAGTTCTCAAGTGGGGGTGATTTTATCCTGTTCTTTCCCAAGGGCCATTTGGTAATGTCTGGAACCATTTTTGATTCTTACAACTCGTATTGGGATTTGTTTCTAAAAGTTAATGGGTAGAGGCCAGGAATCATGTTAATTGTCTGGTAATTCACATGATAGTCCTTGATAACAAAGAATTAACTGGTTCAAAATATCAATCGTGCTGAGGTAGATTAACTCTGTCTTCTATGGAATACAATTCTAGCAAGTTGCCAGAGTAGAACTTAGGTCAAGAATAATACCTAAAGGTATTCTTTTTACACAGCCTGAAATGATTTAAAAATTTGAAGGGATCATAAATTTCCTTTGGATATAAAGGGACTTTAGGCATTCTGCCTTTCTAACATTCATTATTTATGAACAAACCATTTCAGATAGAATATGAACCACTCAAACCCTTCTTTAAGATTCAAACTGAAAACAATATTCATACTTTTGAGACTTTGCCTATTAGTTTTAATTTTCAACTTTCATTCTGGCTTCCAACCCAAACTAAGGGATGGGTACACATGTATGCATGTGCCACATGTATTGTCTCTGTCATATGTGTACATACACACACACACACACACAATGTTTTAGCTAATTCTGTCAGAAATCTTTTAAGGACTTTCCCACATTGCTTTAAAGGCTGAGAAGTGTGTATTAATTGATCAAAACCCTTGTCTCATTAACTCAAGAATAACAATTTATATAAACCCTGAGACTTTTTTCAAACTGTATCTATTCATCTAGGCTGATAGAAGTCACAAAACCTACCATGGATTCTCCACCATATTGTCCTTGGTGAGGTTTAAATATTCAAGGATATCTACAGTGCAATTTAAAACAAAAAGGGATATATTGGTAATAACACAAAACAAGGTAGAATTGTACTCAACAATAAATTAGGCTTTCTTAAGGAGGAGAAAAATAAAAATGTTGAAAAGGCCATCGTGGGCAGTCTGTTGAGTTTTTAGATTAGAAAGGCAAAAATAAGAACAGTACTCCAAATAGTCCTGTTCTCTATTCTCAACGCCAGTTTATGAGCTGCTCTTAGCTTGCATGGTCACCAAGTCTGCTAATTCACTTTTCTTACCCAAACACATCCCATCTGCTTTCTCCTGAAGGTATGTGATCACAGGTACCTTACCTTATCAAGAAGGACATACTGACACCCCCTAGTAATTGACAGAGGCTGTTCACTGATATGCCTGCTGCAAGGCAGTGTTTACTAAAGATGGTGGAGGAGATGGCTATTTGAACACCTCGATATGTGTATTCTACATCAGCTCAGGGCTATGGATTCGAGAGAGAGAGAGAGAGAGAGAGAGAGAGAGAGAGAGAGAGAGATTGTTACAAATTCAAGAATCCCCTGAGATTAACAAAATAGTTCCCCTAATTTATGCATGAGACTAAATTCACAGTTATAATTAAGATCACTTTAGTTGCCTCCACAACAGATTAATTCCTCTTTTCCACTAAAGAGTTGGTGTCCTGAAAGCAATATTTTACTGGTGAGCAATTGCTGAAATCTGTTTGCTTAACAAAGCAA